CTGTCATTTGATTTGGATACGTGACTTCGATTGCCGTCGGTGGAGTATTCTTATCGTAAAGCTTCCACAATTATATTTTAAAGGGTAAAAAAACACATTTGCAGTTGCAACATAATGGTTTGTTCTCCCTCTGCTCAGAGAGAAATAGTCAAACCTACTGTAATGGCCACATATATAAGACCATCACCTGTTCGAACGGCCACTTCCCCTCTTGCTGTTTGTTTACATTATAATAACACCATAAGACGACCTTCTTTCACCTCGATAATTTGTGTCGATCCTATACACTTTCGACTAGAGAGTCTTCTTTACTGCGTTCTCAATATTTCGTACCTGTGTCGTTAGTTTCTTTCCTTTGTACTCAATTTCATACCTATGTCGTCAATTTCTTGCTTGTGTCGTCAATTTTTCACCTGTGTCGTCGATTTCTTACCTGCGTCGTCAGCTATTTACCTGTGTCGTCAATTTGTTACCTGTGTCGTCAATTTCTTACCTATGTCGTCAGTTCCTTACCTGTGTCGTCAATGATGTGTTTGAGTCTCATCTGGATGACGGCAGGGGGCGGATGGAACAAGGTCTTGTTGATCACATCGATCATCTCCTTGTTGGCGCTCCACAGCACGCCACACCGATACCCGGACAGACCGAAGTCCTGGACACACAGGAGAAAAGAACAACCTGGGTTTTGTGTTCAGTTCTGGTATGTTATTGAGGATTGGCTTTTTCATTTTTTCCCCTCTTATTTCTTGTTGGTGCTACTGTAGAAAAATAGTGGGAGTAGCTTCTTTAAAAAAAAAACTTAAACTCGAGTTTGGAAGGGTGCACCGGTTAGGCGTTTCGCCATCGCACGCATTAGACCTGGGATGGATTCCCGTCTTGGGAGAATTGTTGCCGAGTATCTCCGTTTTTTTCTTCTAGGGCGTTGTAACATCTCAGCCCGGGTTTGCCCTGTCAGGCAGGATCGATGCCCGCCTCCTAAATGACCTAAAAGTGTAACGATGAAGACGGAAACAAAATAGCCTCTTCATAAAGGAACGATTTCAAAAAGTACATCTATTCAGTCATAATTTTGAATACAGATACACTCGTTCACTCAAATATAAATCATAAAACACAATGGCACGCTGTGTCCACCCCCCCCCCCCCCCCCCGCAAACTTCCCCTAACGTCTCCCATTTTTAGCATTATAGAGTCTTAACTGGTAGTTCTAGTCCCTCCCTTTAATTCTTAACTTTGTAAATCAGAGAACTGAACCAAATGAAGGGTAGCCTTAGGGAGTACCCAATCAATCTAAGACCAAGCAAAGAAATTATAACCTCTCTGAGTCTTAGACAAAAAATGCCCAGTTGGTGATTCGAACTTGGGCCACAAGCACTGCCATAATACTTTTTATTATTTAGCAAACGGTATGTCTAATCCAACGTAAGCCCAATGAAAGAGCAGGTAAACCCACCATGGAAGTAGACGAACTTATCAAAGGAAGTAGATAAACTCATCAAAGGAAATAGACGAATGCACCAGAGGAAGTAGACAAACACACGAGAGTAAAAAGACAAATGCACGTTAAGAAATAGACGGTGCACAAAAGAAAGTGTACAAATTGTACTCCAGAGGAAGTAGACAAATTAGACTAAAGCAAAAAAGAAAGTCGAAAAACTCGCCCGAGGGAACAGACAGACTCATCAAAGGAACTAGACAAACAGACCAAAGGAAAAAGACGAATACACAGGAAAGAAATAGAGAAAATCACCTTGCTGAAGCCCCAAAGGAAGTGAGTCCTCTCTGGGTCGGGGTGAGGCATGGACAGGACACTGACGAAGGTCGATTCGGGGTCATGGATGGACAGGGCGTAGACCTCGTCCACGATCACGTGAAGAGCGTACCTGGAGGAGCACACGTGCACAGTCAGGATGTCACTCACCACCGTAGTGGTATTTAGTTACTCTCAGTAAGATTTTCAGCAAAAAAGGCAGGTCAGTAAGAAGACCCGTATGCCTCTATATCCTTCATAATGCAAACAAGGGAAATGATATTCAGCTATTGACTACGTGTATATAACTAATATTTTATCTCATCTTCTCTCCCTCTCTGTCTGTCTGTCTGTCTGTCTGTCTGTCTGTCTGTCTGTCTGTCTGTCTGTCTGTCTGTCTGTCTGCCTGTCTGTCTGTCTGTCACCTTCTCTCTCCCTCTCTCTCTATCTCTCTATCTATCTATCTATCTATCTATCTATCTATCTATCTATCTATCTATCTATCTATCTATCTATCTATCTATCTATCTATCTGTCTGTCTCTCTCTCACACACATAGAATATATTAATATTATATACACTCACGCACATACATACTCTCACCCACACTAACACACACACTCTTACTCTCCCACTCTCTCTCTCTCTCTCTCTCTCTCTCTCTCGCTCTCTGTCTCTCTCTCTTTCTGTGTATGCATGTGTGTGTGCTTGTGTGTGTGCGTGTGTGCTTGCGTGTGTGCATGTGTGTGTGTGTGTGTTTGTGAGTGTGTATGTGTGTGTGTGTGAGTGTGTATGTGTGTGTGTGTGTGTGTGTGTGTGTGTGTGTGTGTGTGTGTGTGTGTGTGTGTGTGTCCGGGGGGTGTAATGCCTTACTTGGCACAGAAATGTAGAACATCGTTGATCTGTGTGGCGGTGTATACAGAACCAAGTGGGTTGTTCGGGGTCACAAACAAGAACGCCCTGATATTCTTGCCCTGTGGAGGAAGGCCGAAATTGTTAACAACAGACTGATTGGGAATGTTAACCCCCATCCCCTAACAGCTGTTGTTGTTGTTGTCGTTGTTGTTGTTGCTGCTGTTTGTGTGTGGGGGAGCATAACCTTCTCAATTGCTTGGAGCCTCAAAGAGAATGCTCTTCGCCAGGGCCACAGCTTCTCTTGGGTAACTGGTGAGGCAGTCCAGCCACCTTGAATCGTCCCCGAAGCGATGCCACCGCGGACCTCTGTACAGTAGCGATGCGGATCTGCAGCAGGGCTCCAGATCTTGGGCCTCCTCGTTGTACAATGGACAGATTGGGTCCGATGTGTTGTCCTCTATTTTTGAATCCGCCGCCCAGAGAAGTGACCAGTCCGGAATTTTGCCATTAGTGACTGTTCGAGGCGGGACATAATATGCGCCTCTGCCCCGTATACTTCCTTCGTCGCATATGGGATATCGGAGGGTCTTTGGTGATCAGTTAATCTGGACGCACGCATTTCCATAATACTGTAATATGTAATTGGTAGCGGCAGCGCTGTTGTCTGTTTGACATTACTGTCAGCGAGATCGTTGCAGAGGATCTCGCGGTGATCTGGGATCCACTGGATCGTGGGTTGAAGAGTTGTAACCTATTATTTATGCGTAGTCGCATTTGGTCAAGGGATGGTGATATTCCCACGAATGCCATGCATAGCGATTGACTGTCAGTGAAGATAGCGACCGAGTTGGATGCATCACACTGTTTGTCGATCCAGTCAATGGCCATTTCCAGTGAATGTGTGTGAGTGAGTGTGTGTGTGTGTGTGTGTGTGTGTGTGTTTGTGTGTGTGTGTGTGTGTGTGTGTGTGTGTGTGTGTGAGTGTGTGTGTGTATGAGTGTGTGTGTGCGCGTGTGTATGCGTTTCTTGTCCAAAGTGACGGTTTTGGAATTTTGTTTGACCTTTCTTGTTTTCTCCTTTCTTCTATAATTCAGCTTGCGATTTCCTTGGGCCTTTGGTGTTTTCCATGTCAGAAACTTAACTCACACAAAAAAGTGAAGGAACAGCTTGCGTTTTCACCTGTCAAATTCAAACTTCAGTATCTTGCAAATCCGTTACACTCAGTCAACCAAACTTGGCACACGGACTGACGACTAGACACAGTTTGCCTGTAGAGCAAATTTGTCCGCCTGAGCTCATCAGCGACGGCGCAGGGCATGTCGAAACACAGCCGAAAAGAATGAAACATGTGCAAAATTTCTCTGACTCAAGAACATTGGCATAGGGCCTGATGGCTAAAACTGAGCTTGGCATGTGCTAAATAAATGTCTTAGCTGTGAATATCGCTCACTTACAACCCTTTATAATCCAGCGTTTTTAAGCCATATTTCATTACAACACCATGGTCCAACGACGCCTGCTGCCGGATGTTGACAGAGGACGAACTCTTGCCTGGATCCAAGATGGCTCCACCTTCTGAGTCGTTGCAGGTCCATTTGGGGGTGTCCCTGTCAGTCATATGGAGGCTGCAAGAACGATGTCGATCGACCGGAAGGGTCCAGGAAAGGCCTCAACCAGGGCGGCCCCATTTGACCAAAGACAGGATCCAACGGTTTATCGTCAGACAGGCCGCGACGTCACGAACCACCACTGCAAACGGCATCATGGGCCAACTACGGGTGACAGCCAATATTCATGAGAGTGAGGAAACGTGTCCGTAGAGCCAGGTTCTCTTCTCGTGCCCCTGCCAGGCGCCCAAGACACACTCCGGCCCACAAAGGGGCTCCCTGGGCGTGGTCTGCTCACCATTCACAATGGACATGACGTCAGCAGGATCAGGTGGTCTTCTCAGACTGACAAATCCAGATTCAACCTGCTGCACCCAGTCAGTCGAGCCCACGTTTGGAGGCACCGAGGAGAGCTGACTGCATCCAGCAGGTGGCGCCCTACGATGGAGTTCTGGTGTGGGGAGGCTTCTCATCTCACCACAGAACCCCCCCCCCCCCTACAGTTTGACGGCGCCAAGGCACAGGGACGAAATCCTGCGCCCCCTTGCTGTTCATCTTCTGCAGCAGATTGGACCCCAGGCTGTTCTGCAGAACGACAACGCATTGTGGGGACTTCCTGCAGCAGCAAGGTGTCACCTGGATGGACTGGCTAGTTTGTAGTCCGGATTTGAACACAACAGAGAACATTTGGGATCACATTGACCATCAGACAAGGGACAACCACCCTCCTGCACAAAACTTTCAACAACTGTTGGGCTGCCTCATCCATGAGTGGCAGAACCTACCGC